GTTGTACACTGTACTGCACAACAGTGGTCAAAAGCCTTTTGCTCCTTCCGGGCTGAAACACCTGACAGAAACAGTGTTGTTCCTACCTTTATACACTAGTGCTCCAAGTGCCAACACAGCGCCACCAGTGTACATCCATAGTAAATACAATTCATGTCTGCTGAGTGGAATGACATATTTGGCTCTTACATTAACTTTGAGATATTTTAAGGCACATTGTCAACATATTTATTTTCCTAAACCTAACCTACATAACTTTACTTTTCTAAACCTAATGTACATAACTTAACATTAAGCACTAAGTTGTTAGATATGATACAGACCATCGTATGTGAGTTTTCACAAGACACCACACAAACTGTTGTATAACAATACTTTGAAAACCAACAAGCCCTGATCATGAGACGTTTCTGACCTCCTAGTGTTAAGGCCTGTATAACATCATTAATATACTGTAGGAGGGTGCCTGACTGTGTAGACCTCTAAAAGTGATCACAAGTTTCTTGAACTGGATTTTTTCTGTAGGACGAAGCGAGCAACAAAAATGAAGACAGTGATATAAGATCTTTTTAAGGACCTGGTCAAAGGCCATATGACAGCCCACTGGACCACTGGTTAGTGATGCATGGATGTGAAAGACATGGCAAAACAGTAACAACAGAGTAAATGGACAAATACATAAATGCAATGAAATCTTCATCAAAGCATGAGGCACACCTGCACAACATTTTATATTGTATCTTGAATGAAAAATACAGAGGTGAATCAAACACTTCAAATGCTGCTCAAGAGTCAATGTCTGTTCAAAAGTGACACCTATATTTCTGAGGGCAGATTGAACAGATGATAAAATAGAAACATCTGAACACTTAAACAATTAAACTTTAAAAATATTTAAAACATAAAAATCTCAAACAATGTCTTCAAATAACACCAAAGTAAAATCATCTTCTACATAGATGATATTCAATTATACATGAAAAAACCTGCAGCTTCCCTTCCTCAAGTTAATAATATGGACAGTAATTGAAGCAGCTCTTCTGTGTACTTTCCTCTGCTTTTCAAATTTATGACAAGTATTAATTGAATACATTGGAGCTTTCCATTTTCTCAAAAGTGTTTAAATTAACGTTAATCCCTTCGCTAAGAGAATGAACATGATGTCGAGCAAAACAAAATCAGTGTCCTGGTGTGAAACCTTTTTATGTCACACTATAAATATTAGAAAATTCTCACAAACATTAACAACTGTATTTACTTGAAGAAAGCCAAATGATTTTTTTTTTTCAGTGACAAAATTGTACCATTCTTTCATGGACCACTATGTAGAGAAACATAGAAATGATCAATGCTGTCACCACTGTGTGATAAACACCATGATAAGTTGAAGACAGCTACAGCTGACTGACTCTGTGTGTTTGCATATGTGTCCTGCCTCTCTGCTCCCAGCTGTTAAGAGACCAGTGTTGATCAGTGGCTGTCCAGGCCTTTCAGAGCCACTGACACGCTGACAGCACAATGATGATGTCACTGATTCTACTGCTGGCCACCCTGGGGCTCCTTGTTCAGGGTGAGACTCTCTTCTGAAAACTTTGCTTCAGGATGCAACCAGGTTCACCTCAATGATGTTCTGCTATGATGGAGAAACACTGAAACAAGCAGCATTTACCTTCTTCCATCTGTTCTCCATGTTAAAGAAATGATACTCTTCTGTCTGGATGTTGATCATCTTTCTCCAAACTGGATTTGTCTAAATAACCCTTCTGCTAATTTTCATGTTTTCCAGATTCATCAGGAGAAATCATCCTGACTCAGTCTCCTGGATCTCAGTCTGTTGTTCCAGGACAGACTGTCTCTATCAGATGTAAAGCCAGTTCAAGTGTTACTAATGACTTGCAGTGGTACCTTCAGAAACCAGGAGAAGCTCCTGAGCTCCTGATTTATAATGCTCAATCCCGTCAGTCTGGTATTTCAGATCGTTTTAGTGGGACTCAGTCTGGAACTGATTTCACTCTGACCATCAGTGGAGTTCAGGCTGAAGATGCAGGAGTTTATCACTGTCAGCAGGATAACAGTCTCCCTTTCACACAGTGATACAACGTCGTACAAAAACCTCCCTCAGCTGGAGAGGAACTGATCTGACACAACAGCTGCACAGAAAGTTTGACCTGCACTGAAGTTCATATAGTACAATAATGTCAGGAAACAGTATTTATACTGTAAAAAGTTATAATAATATTAATGTTTTACAATTCTCCAAATATATATATAAAAATAATCAGTTTATTTACATGAAAGTTGTTCAGTTATCAATAATCCTAAACACGTGATATGTATTCAATAACAGTGTGTTTATATGAAAATACATTAGTCATGTTATATTTTTAGTTCACACTGCTGACACTGATACTATGATATCCTACTTCATATTCCAAATACAATTTATTCTTCTGAGAATATGTAGTTTACTCAGATTCATTAAGCTTTAAAGACATTTCTAAAATTATTTCCAGATCAGAGTTTCTATCAATGGCACATTGCATTTATAAAATACTTACAGTACATCTGATTTTCCATAAAATATTTACAAAATCAGCTATGATACAGAAAAAAGAGCTTAAAATTAGTATAGTAAAAAACAGTTTCTGCAGTAACAAAAGCTTTAAGGAATCTGTAATAAAGAATGAATTGACTTTGCCATGTGTGGGTCATAATTCGATGATTATCAGATGAATACTTTGTTTTGAAAATATTGTGGCATTACATTCTCTCATATTTTCTTTCTAAAGACACTTCCAAGCAATATTTACATCTTAAACTCAGCTGAGATAAATCTTTTTGTATTTTAGGGTACTGTTTAGACAGCAAGTCTGTTCTTGTACAAGAACACATGAAAACCAGTGATTTGATGAAAAGGTCTTTATTATTTTTAAATAATAAGTTACAACATGCAGCAAAACTTTATTAATGAAACGTGTTATAAAAGTGTGGGTGATGGGAAAAAGAAAATAGAAAGACTGAATTGCTGAGTGCAGACTGAGAGCAGTATCTGAGTAAAACCAGCAGCAGAGTCCCAGTGAGTCAGGTCAGGACTGGGAACACTGGTGAGATTAATAAGGTTTTTATGAGATAAACTAAACTCTGTCTTTTTGGTTACAGCAGAAGTGACTACTAGTTCTGCTGGTCTCCCTCAGACTGGATGAAACTGGTCTTTAATGTTTCACTTCCCTCTTTGAGCTCAGTAACCTTGGCAACAGACAGGCGTCACTGCTGAACCATGACAGCAGGTTACAGTACTAATAAAAAAAAAGGTACACTTTTACTCCAGTGTATATCTTCTAATGCAATAACTTCAACCAAATACAAATGATTGTCATTCACTCATCTTTATAATATAATATGAACAAAACCAGTGCAGGCTCATTAATGCTCAATGTTAGAAATATACAGACTCACGTAGGAAAGAAGCAAGCACTCTCAAAATAAATCCCCTCGAAAGGTGCACGGCCAAAAACAGCAAAAGCAAACAGAAAGGGAAAAAATGCAGCACTCACAAATGTCCTTTTGGTAAATTTAATAAACCTTCTTCAGTATGAGTCATACTGAAGAAGACTTTTTGTCAAAACGTCTGTGTTTCTGGTACTGCCACCCAAGCTGGTTTATGAAATACACAGACACACATGGAGCCTTTGTCCATACTCTGGGTTCATTTCCACCGTATTTGTGCACGTTTTGTTAAAGCTCAAAGATATGGACAAAACACAGCAGTACCACCGGAGATCGGAGGCAGTGTTAGTTCAAGTGAGACATGACTGTAGAAGACGACAAAGACATTTTAAAAATGACGGGACGAAACAAATCAATATAGTGAAAAGAATTCTCTGTCCACCTGTTGCAATGTATTTAATGGCCTCACAGACCTCCGCCATCTACAACGCTCCCTCTGGCCTCCACCGTTGCCTCATTTGTTGTTGTGTGAAGATTTTGAGTTTACACTCTGGTGCCATCTATTGGCTGTATCGATGTTCAGATTTTGAAATGGACTCAAATGGACACTCAAATGTAGGTGGAAATGTTACCAGAAAGTAACCACATCACTGTCCTGTACAGCTCTCACATCTGCATCTTGTTAATTGTCATTGGAATGGGGTTGCACACCAACATTTTTAAAAACAAAAGGAACAGACTGGAGAGTAGTGGAGGGCTGTAGTGTTGTCGGAGCACACACATTCTTGTTTTCTCCAAGTAAGGAAAAAGTGGTAAATCAAATCATAATCACAACATATGCCATGCAAAAGAGACAATGAACAGAAATGGAATGGTCAGAGTTATCATATCATATTGGGGTCCCAAAAGGGTCAGTTAATGGGCCACTGCTCTTCAATTTGTACATGTTCCCGCTTGATTTTATCATAAAGAAACATAATATTTCCTACCATTCTTATGCTGATGATACACAGTTATACATTTCACTTTCCTCCGATGATCTCAGTCCTATCAACAGATTAATTAATTGTTTTAATGGTATTACTCACTGGATGTCCACGAATTTCTTACAGCTGAATACAGACAAGACTGAGATTCTCCTAGTTGGTCCAAAAAGTCAAAGACAAATAATCTCCTCGCACTTGGAATCACTGTCTCTGAAATGCAGTGAGTAAGTCAGAAACCTTGGCATTATCTTAGACACTGATCTCAATTTCAAAATTCACATCACTAATATCACCAGGACAGCATTCTACCACCTGAAGAATATATCAAAACTTCAAGAATATATCACTCAAACTGACTCTCAGAAACTGGTTCATGCCTTCATCTCAAGCAGATTAGCCTATTGCAATGCTCTATTCACAGGATTATCCAAACAATCAGTAGGACGTCTCCAGCTCATTCAAAACGCAGCAGCCAGAATCCTCACACATACTTGTAAATTTGATCATATTACTCCAATACTGAAATCACTTCATTGGCTCCCGGTACAATACAGAATCTCCTTCAAAATCCTGCTAATAGTCTATAAAGCACTTAATGGTTTGGCTCCTCAGTACATCTCTGACTTGCTCACTGCATACAACCCTCAGGCCTCAGGTCATCAGGCAGAGCTCTTCTAGCTGTACACAAAATTAGATCCAGGTCTGGTGAGGGCGCCTTCAGTTACTGTGGTCCTGTTCTCTGGAACAAACTGCCTGATGACGTGAGGTCCACAACTGTGTCCACTTTCAAAACCAAACTCAAAACTTTTCTATTTTCCCAAGCTTATAGTTAAATACTGTGTGTGTGTGTGTGTGTGTGTGGTGGGGGGGGGGGGGTGCTAATCATATGCCTGCACTTCTTACATGTGTGGCTATGTGACAGGGCAGGGGTTTCTATATAATTGTGTTGATGTTTTTCTGGATTTTAATGTTGTGTGATATATATTTTTGTTTTTAATGTAAAGCACTTTGAGTTTACTTGACATTGACATTGACATTATCATATTGACATTTAAGTTGTGCTGATTGATTCACTTCAACTCATGCACTGAGTAACATGCAAGAAAACATTCCACCTTAAAAGTTGCTGATAGCTGCTGGTAATTTGAGCAACATGATGAATTAAATGATTTTTTTTCTCAGTCTATAGCTGCTAAATGTTAAATAGTAAAGGTAAAAAAGCAGCAAAACAGTCTTTCATTTTAAAGTTACAGCTGACTAATGTATGTAAACTTGCCACTGTAGAAACAGTAGGTACAGTCTGCAAAATAGTCTCCAAATGTTGATTCTCCATTTACCAACTGACGAAAAAACAAAAAAAAAACAGGATTGTATGGAATGGTTCAATGGTACCATCCACAACTTTTTATAATAAAAATGAGATTACCCCACCAGCCGGCCTGACCACCATGGAGTCTAGAGCCTTTAGCTGTACTGCCCCCGGCCTCTGGAACTCCCTCCCACTGGACATTTGTAGCATCAACTCTCTCCACTTTCCTCAAACCAGTCTCTTTCAAAAAGCCTATTCAGTATGACTGCTGTCCATCTAGCCACACACCTTCACTATTTACACAGAATTTACTTACTGTAAACTTGTTTTGCTGAATATTTATTTGTTGTTATGTTATTATTATTTTATTATGCATAGTTTTCTGTTAGTTTATTTCTTATCTCATTGACTTTTTCAGTTTGGTGTTATTTTCTCTATCTTTGCCTGTACAGCGACCTTTAATGTCGCGAGGGCGCCTACAAATGAAATGTAATGTATTATTATTATTATTATTATTATTGTAATTATCATCATCATCATCATCATCATTATTATTATTATTATTATTATTATTATTATTATTATTGTCAGACTGCTGGTGAAAACTGGGCTTTTGTAGTCTCATCTGCTTCCTTTAGTTATACTGGATCACTGACAGATATAAAAATTGTCTCTGTGAATTATGAATGCTACAAATTATGTCATGTGCGCAGCATAGTTTAAACAACGATGCGTCACTGTGATCAGTTAGGAACTGAATTATTTTTCTTTCTTTTTTTTTTCTTATTTTAATTAATGAAACGGCAGATTCATCCCCCTCCCCACCCCAATAAGTTTTGTACAGTCCCTAACAAAGTCGCGTCAGAACAGAGACACTCCCTCCTCCCAGTGCGAGGAAAAAGCAGAACAAACAGCTGAGCCGGCTCGGTCCCCTCTTCATCGAAACAAAATGAAAACAATACTTTTGTTTCTTCTTTTGTGTCACGTGTCGTCATCAGGTGAGACTTGCTTCACTTTCTACTCGACTATGTATTTTGTTCTCAGTTTTGTATTTTAGTTTCACTTTTACGTCTACAGTACTTTGTTTCTTTCTGATTTGAGTTTTACAGTGCACATAAAAAGATGTTGCTGTAAATGTGTTAGCCAAGGGATACTTTTCAACTGTTGTCCCTGGACCAGATGTTAAGATAGCCACAAAACAGAAAGATATAAAAGCATTAAGAGAACATAAATACAAAATAAGTGAAACAGTTAGCACATTAAAGGCAGAGGAAGAAGACAATTCTACATGACAGGTCATAAGCAATCAGCCAACAGACATTATGTACGAGATATAAAAATTATCACATAAT